AGAGTGCCCGGGCGAGCTCTGGTTCGACGAACCCCTGGTTGGGTCTGCCCGGCGAGGAGTTCCTCTTTGGGACCGGCTCTGCGCCCGGGCAGGCTCGGAGCTCGTGCGCCCTCTCCCCGCAGTCCATGGCGCGGTTCCTGAGACTCTGCACTTGGCTGCTGGCACTCAGCCCTGGGCTTGTGGCGACCGTGCGGGCAGAATGCAGCCAGGACTGCGCGACGTGCAGCTACCGCCTGGCGCGCCCTACCGACCTCAACCCGCTGGTGAGTGTTCTGCGCGGTGGAGGAGCTGGTAGCCGGGCCCACCGCGCGAAGCGTCTCGCGGTCACATTTGGCGCTGACGCCTGGTGACCCAGCTGTCCCAATTGTTCCCTTAACGCTGACCAAGGTCCCGCTCTAGCTCTCAGCTTCCAGAACCCGCGACTATCTAGAGACCACTAAGGGCGGCGGTGCCTCCACGCAAATCAAGTTTGTTTTAGCCCGGGGATGCGGGAGCCCAGAGCTGCGCTCTGTTCAGCACCTCGGAGAGCACTGTGCTGTCGCCTTTCGCGTCCCAAGGAAGATGCTCAGTCACCCCACCTCCTCACATAGCCCACCAAGGGCCCCTTCCACACACAACCATCTTCCCATCCTTTCCGTAAATGATGTTGACTTTTTAAATTAATTATATTTCATCGTTTTCCTTCAAATTTCATTTCTCTAGCCCTTTTAACCTCAGGACCCTCAGTCCTGACCCTCACCTGTGGGTAGGAGAGAGCAACGGGATGGGGAAGATGGATAAAGGGAGAGGAGGAAGGGAGAGCAGAGAGGAGAGAAAGAGATTAAGCGACTTCTTTTTACAGGCAAATGACCCTGGAATTCAACCTCTGTCTTGTCTAAAACGTAGTTTTGTAATACCTACTAAGACAACAGTTTAATTTGGCTATGAAAAAGGCACAGGAGAGGTGGCCAAGTTCAAAGAAGTGGCAACAATGCAAAAATAAATTACACAGGGGCTGGGGGGTGGGGCGGGGGAGGGCTTCTAAGGTCAAGAGAACTGTCATTCTAATCATTCTAGCCCGTGTGCTCCTGAATCATTCCTGTCGCTCTATTGAGTCAGAATCTCTGAAATCTGGGACCCAGGAAGCTTCATTTTAACTAAATCTCCCAATGATTCCTTTGCACCATCTTCTCAATTTGTTGAATTCCTGTGATGACTTTAAAAGTTTGACAGAGAATAATGTATTAATCCAAAGAGTTAAACTCCTCACTAGAGCCTCTGAAGCAATCTTGTTATGTAGATGCATAAAGCAGGGACAAAAATTAAGGAAAGGATTCCACAAAACCCACAGCATATATTTCAGGTTAAATGTTTGTTCCATTTGGGTTACCTGATCCACTTCATCTGACAAGAAATGTAGTAGGGCTTTATATTTAAACTGAGGGGAAAAATGTTGCATCTTAAATAGGGATGACAGTCCCCTTCATCCATCTTTTTCTTTCCGATTTGATTTTTGTTTAACTGGTTGGTTTTCTATTGGGGCTTACATTGAGGGTCATTACTTTCTTTGTGCCAAAAGGCTTGTTAATGACTATATTGTTAGAGTTAACACCAGCTCTGGAATTTTCCATTGGATGGAAAAGACACATGAGAAATGAGGTGGCCTAGCCAGAACTATGCAGTAAAATCAATGTAACAAATATTTATTGAGCTTCTATCATGTGAAAGACACTTATGCTTCCTTCTGTGGTGGATGCAAAGATGAGCAGGCATGCCATGACTGATTTTACCAACTAATACAGACGTGATAAATACTACAAAAATTCATAGGTGGCTACAGGAGCATATAAATATAAAGTAACACCATTTCTGTAACATGACTGTGTTATTCGGATTTTTTGCCATTATTTATTTTTGAAGGAATCCCAACATTTAAAAAGCCTTTTGTTATAGTATAAAAAATATTCAACATTAATTTTTGACAAATAGATCATTCAAATGTCATTTTAGGGTGGAAATAATATTGACACCTGTACATTTTAAATTCTTAATGATGTCTTGATTTCTTAATCAGATATCAAGAAAACAGAATGATTTTAATTAGGTCTTTAGATTTTTATATGTGCATATATTTAATTTTCTTAGACACAAAGCTTAAGCAATCATTAAAAGCTGGTTAAATATATACCCTGAAGAATCGTCTTACACTAATAAGATGATTCCTTTTATTGTGAAAATAATATGTGTATATTTCATATTAAGTAATATATCAATATATTTTTAAATCCCAAGAAGGGCTTGGTTTTTATGTCCAAATCAAGGGTTAGTAACTGTTTTCCATAAGTAGACTTCAGGAGGCCATATAATTGCTAAGAAATATCAATTGGATCTTTACAAATGTTCTAGAACATTAGTACTCAGTTTATCATATCTGAGTGATCTGTTGAACAGAAGAGAATCTTAAATTATTAGAATATATAGCCTAAATCTTACAATAATTAGAATTTAATTATTATTTAATAAAAAGGAAATAATTATAACCTGATCATTCTTGTTTTGTCAAATAACATGATTTCCATTGGAAAAGGCTTTTTCTGCATACCAGTGACTGGCTAAATATTAAGAAAATAAACTTGAATTAATTGAACATCTACATATGTATTATTTTATATCAGACTTCATCACTATAAACATTTGACTCAAAATAATTAAACCTGTCTTAATCAAATACGGGAGCAGGGGAAGTAAAACAACTCTGCTTTCAGCAAGTCAGTATGTCATAATCCAAATAACTTGCAGCATTTAAATTGAGTTTTTAGACTGCCTTGCTTTTCAATTTTATTTTTAAACTGTTGTCTTTCTTAGAAGGGTGAAAGGGTTTGCAGGAATATTAGCTACCATTCCAAGTAAAATATTAACACAAGGAAGTAAACAAACCTTATATTATTAACACTGATTTTATTGGTAAGAAAAGACAGTAACAGTAATTCAGGAATAATGTTCCTAATTAGGTAAAATTTTGGTTAGAAAAATCTCAGACAAAATGAAGTCAGCAGTGGGAAACTATCCTGTGAAATTAGATTGTGCAAGCTGCCAGTCTAGGTTAAAATTGGCTGGGAAAAAAATCTTTACAATATTGAAATGGCACCGTATATACAATCTGTTAAAATTCAAAGAAAAATTCTAATTTGATTCTATTAATTCTCCACAATCTCTCCTTTTGCCTTTCCTCTGATTTGCCTGTTCAGTATGACAAAAAGTTGTAATAAGAAACATGAGTTTATTACGTGGGCGTTTCCACAAGCAAGCATATGGTGGTCTATAAAAATGTGTTCACTTCATGAAATCAAAAAAGCCTCATTTTGTCATTAAGTCGAATTCTTTTCCCAGGCTTGCACCCTGGAATGTGAGGGAAAGCTGCCGTCTCTCAAGACCTGGGAAACCTGCAAGGAGCTCCTGCAGCTGTCCCAGCTGGAGCTCCCTGCAGATGGCACCAGTGCCCTCCGAGAAAGCGGCCGACCCGAGGACAGCCATTTGCTAGCCAAGAAGTATGGGGGCTTCATGAAGAGGTATGGGGGCTTCATGAAGAAAATGGATGAGCTGTACCCTGCGGAGCCAGAGGAAGAGGCCACTGAAGGGGAAATCCTTGGCAAGAGATACGGGGGCTTCATGAAGAAGGATGTGGAGGAAGACGCCGCCCTGGGCGAGTCCTCAGACCTGCTGAAAGAACTGCTGGGAGCGGGGGACCACCGAGAGGGGGGTCCCCACCAGCAGGGCAGCGATGACGAAGACGTGAGCAAGAGATACGGGGGCTTCATGCGAGGCTTGAAGAGAAGCCCCCAACTGGAAGAGGAAGCCAAAGAGCTGCAGAAGCGATACGGGGGCTTCATGAGAAGAGTGGGGCGCCCCGAGTGGTGGATGGACTACCAGAAACGGTACGGGGGCTTCCTGAAGCGCTTTGCGGGTTCTCTGCCCTCCGACGAAGAAGGCGAAGGTTACTCAAAGGAAGCTCCCGAAATGGAGAAAAGATATGGAGGGTTTATGAGATTTTAATACCCTTTCCCATCAGTGACCCCAGGCTCCCACAAGCCTCCCTCCATCCCCCAGTGAGAGACTGCTTCGTGGGTCGCGTTTCTTGTCCTGTGTGGCTTACTTTATTGTCTGGATAATTAACTATCCAACCTGAAAGCTGTCATTTCAGGTCCTGCGTTCTTTCGAGAGTCGTTAAGCTCAGTACTGGTCTATTGCAGCGTCTTGTTTCTATGCTAAAATAGTTTTTGTTATGACTTTGTCCTTTATTTTTGACAAAACACCAATAAATGCTTACTTGTATACAGATACAATAAACCCATGACCCCAACTGCACACAATCCTCGCAAGTCTCTTCTCCAAGGCTCTCATTTGCACATCCTTAACAGTGAAACCACCTGCTTTGGACAGAATCATCACTGGCTTCCTCCTCTTCCAACAGCTGAGGCTGCAAAAACATTTTTCATTTAATTCCTTAAGGAGGAAATCTTAGAGGAGCAAACACTTTGAAACAATATGAAATGTATTTCCACGCTCAGGTTTCTGGAATTCGGGTATGTGAAGGCAAACCAAAGCCCAGTAGAGAAAAGAGCTATGCCCTCACACATGAGGAAATCTGCATTTGCATCCAGATGTGTACGTCTCTTTTCTCCAGCAAAGTATTTTAGATGGTAATTAAAAATTAAAGATAATTTAGCTCCATTTTACAAATAAAGAGAATGGAGCCCAGAAAGGTCAAGTTGTTGGCCCAAGATTGCCTAGCAGGTAAAGAACAGAAATGGAGTTAAGACCCCAAACCTCTTGCTCCCAATCAATGTCCTTTCCACTCTGGTTCCCTGTCTCTCATCCAGGTCTCTACCAAGAACGGGAAGAACTTGGGACCCTCTCTTGCTCACTGTCGTCCACTCCTACACCTACCACCATAGTGGGTCCTCCAATATCTGATGGATGGATATATGAATGAACAAAGGGATTTGGTGACCAGATTATTGAGAAAGGTGTTATGAAGGTTTTTTTAAGACAAATTCTCATCACACAAGAAGTTTATGGCTACTCATATTAATTAACCCATCTAGGACAACATACAGGTACAAATACAGGTATTTCTTTGTTTTTCTAATTGAAACCACCTGCAGCTAAACTCCCATCCACTAAGTCATCTTCCTAGGACCCCCACCCATCCTTTCTTTTGTGTTCTTCCCCCCAAAATCGGAGTTTAGCAACTGAGGATGACAGAGGAAGAGCCTCTGCACTGTAGCTGTGCAAGCTGGGTTTCAGGGACATCCGCTCGGCCATGTACATGGCTATGTGCAGCATCAGTGCAGGGGTCACAGGTCCCTCCCACTCACGGAGCCCCACCACCGTCTATCTTCCTGATCCTCGACAGGGTGACTTCTTCCAGATGAGA